AGTAACTCGAAGCACATCGACGTAAGGCACCACTTTATCAGGGAACTGGTAGGCAGGAAGGAGATTTCGATTTTTCACGTGGAATCGGCGTATCAACATGCTGACTTTCTCACGAAAGCACTTCACGCGGGAGATTTTGAGTTTCATCGTAACTACGTGATGAGTATGGATTAATATCTTGGTGTTCGGGTTTATTTTGTGTGTGATCAAACAACTGGGGTGGCAACATTTTACATTTTTGCCTATGGTTTTTCTCAATGGATGATGTTCTAGGCTGGGGGGCAACAAGTTCACTGAAGTTCGAAGAAGTATAACTGGTATGATCGGGGATGGTTATTGATGTCTAGCCAATGAGGCTATTGTTCTAGAGTTGAGTGGAGTTTCTGATTTTATTTTCTTGTGTTTTGGAGTTATTGAGGATCGAAAAAGACATGGCATGGTCACAAGCAGGGGGGCTGATAGATATACTTGTAGCAATGCCAAGTGGTTGTAGGATTGTGTGGTACGTGGAATGTATTTACAGGATGTGCAAGGTACCCCTGTTGTATACTGCGTCGCCCCCTCATGGTGGTGCGTACACGCGTGCGTTCAGTGTTTTATGTAAGTTCATGTGAGTTCATGTGAAGAAGAAGTTTATGCAACAAACCCTACACGTCTTTCCTCCTTGGCGCTAGCTCGCCGAGTTGCCGACACCCTATTCAACACACGTCTTGCGACAAGCTACCCCCAGTTCGGATCATCCTAACAGATGGGGATAAAGCGGAGTAGGAAGGATGGCCACCGGGAATTGAAGGAGACGCAAGAGGAGCCGGGCGAACAAAGGCTTATTGCAAGCGCTCTACACTTGAGTTAAAACATTTTGTTTTCCCTGTCTTTTTCCCGATTGGGTGTTGTCGGATACTTTCCCCAGGAACTCAAATAGACCCGGTATATTTTGTCTACCTTTTCAAGCTTCAGTATTGAAGGAGGCTGGAGAGGGATTTGAACACTCATTTTGGCTTCACCCACCGTATTAATCCGAATTATCACAATTTAGACAGGGCGAGCGAGGGGATTTGAACCGTGTAAATGGACCCCCCCGAAACGGTGTGTTTCGGTGTGTACTTTCGCGTAGGGGATGAAATTTAGGCCGGCAAATGTTTTGGCGGCAAGCAAATGGAAAACTCGGCACTACTGCGAGCGCCTACGTACGTCCGGTTTGGTTTGTGATCGTCGAGAGCTTGTATGGTGGGGGTTATTCGTCCACGCGCGCAGGGGCGTAATACTACTCCGGGCGTTTTGTCCCACTGGACATTAAGTCGAGGGTATGGTGTGGGTGTGGATGGTTGTCGTATGGTTTCTTCACCACCAACAACCACGCGTCCCGGGCGCAGGCACTTGCGGCGATCTGTTTTGCCATTGTACTACAGGTCAAACCAAACACACTACTATCGTACTACACTATTTTAGTTTGCGTGCGGTCACTACATGGCAAGAATCAATAGAACGTCGGCGGGAAAAATGTGGGCGGCTACCCATATCCGGTAGCTTTTTGCGGGCCGGAATGAATGATGACAGCAGGAACAGGGTTTACCGATTACGTACATGGACCAACGGATGCAGGCACAACGGTGAAGGTCAAATTTAGGACTGGAGACATAAACCATAGAGAACGAAGACGAAGGTTTGGGACGGTAGACGACGACGACGACGACGAGCAAGTTCGATTGGGAACTGCGAAGTAGGGGTACCATGTCAGCGACAAACTGCAACCGAAACGTGCCTCAAAACAACAGTGAATCCGGGGCTATTTAATTTTCTAGACTGCGTACAAATATCAAAAACATAGACTATGAATGTGTTCTCGCCTGATCACTTAAACATGACAACGAAAATAGATTTGTACATCAGCTACCTGAAGGCGGATAAGGACATACGTCCTACGACAAACAATACCGACGTGTCATTGGGCGCTGGTTCATACCGGACTTCGGTCGCCACAGCCAGCCATCCTATGACCGTTGTGGCTTTTTTTGTAGATAAACCGTCGTATGTGCTGATTTTTTTCATGCATATTCGTCTGTGGGAAGAGGTTGAAGTAGCAATCAATGTTGACGCACATCCATAGTTTACTGTATGGTGTAGGGGATGAGAACACCGTTTCCCGCCGGCAATCGATGTAGTCAATATCCAAGAGGCATGGAGGTGGTAGGTCGGTTCCGAACGCCGCACGCAGTAGGCAATAGGGCTGAGTGTGTCTCTGCTCGAACACGCCGGTGAAGTCAGCCTCAGGATTCACTCTATACATCGGGTAATCGGCAACAGTATGATTTTCCAAGAGAAAGTAGGCAGTGCTTGTTCATTCACATTTGATTCGCACATCCCCTGTTCTCGCTGGACTATAGCGTACTTAGCACGAGCACCATAATGTCGTGCCTCTCCACCCTTCGGAGTGTTCAATAGTGCTGTCTCTCTTCGTCCTCGATTGTTGTGCTTTGTGAGCCTGAATGTTCATTGTTTCAGGGGCATTACCAATAATATTCAGTATCCTCTTCAACCCACTTCCGCCGGCGTAGTCAGAATAGGATGCACCGGTAGTCGAAGTTATTGAATGTCGGCGAAACGGACCCTCTTCGTTATTTAGCTTGTTCCTTGTCATAAATGACCGCCTGCATGCGCCACCGCAACACTGGCGGCTAGTCTAAATGTAGTGGGCCTTCTGGTGCGCGAAAATTGATCTATTGCGCGCCTCTCACCTCTAAACGATGAAAGAGTATCGAACTGCCGAGCGCGGACGAGAAGGGACGAGAACCCAGATGGCAGCAATAGGGCATTTGGCATGAGATTCGTCAGGGACCACCTTCTGCTGTCTGTCGTCATGATGGCGGTTTTCACGCGCAGGAAGGAGCGGGTCAAAACGCCCTCCTCTTGCAAAAGCTTGCTCTACGTCATTCCCGCTGAGATTGCCTATCTCTTCCAGCTCGGGGAACCTACAAGCGACACACACACTGCTACGAGAGGCAGCCACCCTCCTTCTCCTCAACATCTACCTCAAGAGTACGCAGGACACTGAAATTGAGTCTCGTACTCAAGGATCGTGAATGGCTCACCAGGGGGCTTGGCGACAAAGGCCAGAAAGAAGTGAGTCAAAGCATTGCGCGAAGACTTGATCGAGTTAACCAGGCCATCCTCCTTGGCGTTTCCCGCGTGGCCTTCCGCATGAAGGATTCGTCCTCGTCATGGCCCCTGGCGTCGGTGTTGGAAAGGAGTGGTGCGGGTGTGTGTGTGCCCTTGGGCGGGGTGTGTGTGTGAGGTCGCTCACGTTTTATTTTTCCGACGATGATGATGATGATGATGATGATGATGATGATGATAATACGGAGTAACAAAAGCCGTTTGGTCCAGCCTGTGGAAATAATTCGCCAATCAATCACCGAGTGTGTTTTGTGTGGTGGCTAGAAACGAACGGACGGACGGACGGACATCTGTAAAGGAGTGTTGCTGTATGGCACAGATAGGGTACACAGTCGGTCTAGATTAAGATGGGGGACGTCAGGAGGTATACCCTCTTAGGACGTACCCCATCGGGACTTAGCTATCTGCGTGCCCCCAGGTTGAGGGCAATCCGCCTCACCTCAGACCTGTAGCAGACCCGCTTCTGCAATAACAAGCAACCTTCCCATCTCAACGTGCTCGTGGACAAGAGTGTGTACGGCAGAATCTACATCTACTACATCTAGGAGGCAAGCCACCGTCGGGCGGGCATTCCTTTAAACATGGCGTCAGCTGGATACTGGTTCGAATCTCCCTGGGTGCACACTTTTTCTCCTGACTCGGATATTTTCCCAAGGACACAATGTGTGTCAGTCCTGAGAACACCTCTTGGAGTCGATCCTACAAAGAACCTTGTGACACTTCCATCGAATTACCCATCCTGGCCACAAGAGGTTCCCAGTTGAGGGTAAATTCTGTAGGTGGAGAGTGTTAAGGAGGACCCGATTCGCAGGGTATCCGTCGATTGACTTTTACCTGAATCCTGAATCGGTGCACCTTCGCACATCACCTACCCGCCCTACGAGATAATGGATCTTCTGACTTCGGCTGCACGCGCTAGCCGCGGGCATTGCCTACAGGATGATGAACCGGCTGCACCAACTACGGCAGTAGTGTACTATTCGCCAGGCTCACAGCTCGCTAAAGTAGGTTGTTTGGGGCGGGACATGGACTCTCTCGGCTGCATGTACTACCTGCTGTGTTCAATCATAGGTACACGCATGACATGTGACCGTGATGAATGAAATCACGCGTGGCCGCCCGCCGTAGGCGGCGGAACGGCCACCCGGATATACGCACGAAGAAGGCCAATGAATGATTTGTGGATGTGAAGCGCGGGAAATAGAAAGGAGGATGCAGGT